CCGCAGCGCCAGAGCCAGCGGCGTCCCTTCCGCCTGCAACCAGCAAGTGGGGAGCCCTCCCCTCGGGGAACCCAGCGCTGAATCGCCCCTCCGCCCTCCCCAGCCAGGGTGAAGCCCCCTCCCCCCTCGAAAGTTGCAGGCACTTACAGTTCTTCCAGCGCCAGCCTCCTCCCCAGAGCAGCTCGGGGCCAGGCTTCCCCCCTGCCCATCTGACACTCACACCTTCCTCAAGCCCGGCTGGCCAGCCCCAGCGCACACATCTGGGCAGCTCGCTACAGCGCGGGCTGATTTACCCCTCCGGAGAGCTAGGGCCACCCTTGGCTGCCTCCCCTCCTCGCCCAGCCTCGGCTCCCCAGCGAGCGGCTGTGTCACAGCTCCGCAGGCACCCTCCACACTCACCCCCATCCACACGCGGGAGAGCGCGAGAGACAAGGAAATGAAATTTATTATTGATAGAAAAGACTTTAAAGACAATTTCAAGTTATTGTTTCGCGTTGGAAAAAAAGAGGGGCTTGTCTCTCCCCCCCCCTCACATAATGAAACGCCTTTTGTGTGGCCCTGAACAATACCAAACAAGTACTCTAATAAATAGCCACTTTTTTGTTCCGTCTCGACAGTGAATAGAATTGAGCAGTTGGGTTGAGAGCAGCTGGGACGCTGCTTTGAACAGGGAGGTGGAGCCGAGCCCTTCCTTCCCTTTCTCTTCCCTTCCCTTCTCCCTCGCTCTGGCTCAGATGCACTTTCTGCTCCAGCCTCGTCTTTCTCCCTCCTTCTCTGCCTGGCCCACTTTCCCTTCTCTCTCTCTCAGCCGTCCCCTCTCCCTGGGAATATTTCGTGTGTGCAAAGAGCCGCCTTTGGCTAACCTCAGCTGCCCCGGGCACCTGTGCTGCACAGTTACCTTCATTTGGCTCCTTCGCCCCACCACCTCCTTGATCGCCCCTGCCTTTGATCACTTCTTAGATTTCCCTCTTTTCTTCCCCGTAGTCGCCCTCCAGCTCCGAATTAATACTTCGTACATTTCCAGACCCTCCTTTCCACTCCTTTGTTGTCAATAAACTTGGATTTCTCACTGAGCCGTCTGTGGCTTCCTTGGGGTTGTATAATCTGGAGGGTGAGCTTCTTATTCCTCTCTCTTTTCCTCCCTATAGTTTCTTGAGGACAAAGCTTTTTTGCTCCTTGTCAGTTTCCCCTTCTCCACCCGAGGGATGTAACTGAAGGTTTGCACCTTTTGCAATCTGTGAGGCTCATGTTAATCTCTTCTGTTTTCTATATAGAGCTGCTAATTTTCTTCACTCATTTTTTTTGTAGTACTCCTCTCCAGTCCCTTTCCTACCAACCTGACAACTGCTCTAGGAAAGACAGTCGATAGAGATTATTAAAATGGACACAAAGCAGCTAAAGATTTCCAGGTAAAGCGAAGAGCAACCCGTTTCTTTTCTGCTCTAGGCGGCTGGGGGCGTGGGGTTGGAAGGGAGGGTGCATACGTGTGTGTATGGAGGGAAGGGGGTGGGGGTATGGGGAATTTTGGTCAGCACCTGAGCATGAGCTAGCTATCAAGCAGGCGGTGGCTGCTCCTTCCCTGCAGGGTGGTCAGAGAGGCCAGGGCAGTTTGCATGAGTACTGGGCGCAGCGCCGGGCCAGCATGCTTCTGTGTGGATCCTTTCCACTTGATTCCAGGCTTTCTGGAAAGGATCTAGTCCTTACACCAACAAAGGAGCCAAACTTTAAGCGGGAGCTTGTTTTACAGTGAAAGCATTGCCTGTGCGTCTCGGAAAGATTACAGACCGCTTGTGAGGTTAACCGGTACTGCCGCATTTGATACCCAGACTCTGCCATGCTCCGATTATTCAGATCTAGATGTTCCCTACTTAGGTTCCTGAGGGATCGCTTTCGGTTCTAAATAGGGACTACTTCGTATGTCTTTATTTGGTGGGGATGGAAAGGCAACCATTCTTTCCCTGGCAATCAGTGCTCTGTATTATTGCTGTTGATGGCCGCAGCTGCAGCTGAAGGCGATCCCGGTGGGTACGTCTTTGAGAGCCAAAAACACAGAAACCTTTAACTGCTCTTTATGCAGCCGGCATCGGTGCCCAGACCAACGCTGCCATTTGTAAATGCTTTCCTAGCTGCGCTTGAATTAGCGAAGGCAAACCATCACCGCCCCCCCCCCTTTTTATTTTGGATTGTAGCAAAGCAGGGGAATGCCATTGGCTGCGCTTCCCTGATTTTGGAAGGGCCAGTGTATCTCACCACCGAGGAATGGATCTTTAAAAGCCCCGCGCACATGTATTTGTATAAATAACCCCTTTGCAAAACAGAGTCCGAGGGTCTATTTCCTGATATCCTGTTTATTTTGACTCCCATCCCCCGTTGCTTTAAAGTGGATTTTTTGCTCCCACTTCCCCAACACACCGATTCTAACGACCTGCAATATTATGAAACGCTGGTACATGACAGTTCTGTCGGCTTCGTGCAGAAACCAGAAACTCGGGGACCCCACACAATGCACATGCAATACGTTGGGGACTGGATCGTTTCCAGCAGCGAACGCCGTTTCCTTTTTATATGGAAAATGGAAACATTTTGGAAGGCAGATTTAAAACTTTGACTTATATTTTACATGTTAAATAACCGAAAGAATGGGGACGACATTACGGAAAGCTTCAAACCCTGCAAATATTTGAATGGTTTTTTTGTAAAGTAGAGCAGCTGTCAGTCAGCTGGCTTTGACAGCCTGCCACAATTTTGTCACTTAATAGTGGGTGTTAGGCTAAGTGCAAAACACTCTGGCAAACAGATGTCAAACCTACATCTCATATAAATGTGGGTTGTGAAATTGAGTTTTAACCCACATATAGGTTTTTAAAAAGCGATGCCAGTGTGTAAACGCAATGCAACCCGGAGACACTGACAAGCTCCCGTGTATGCTTGTTATTCAGACGAAAGGTTATTTAGAAACCTGACCGCCAAATTATAGCTAACGCTCTCTCACAGTGGACTATGAGAACACAGCTTGGCAAAGTATACACTGAAGACAGAGAGGATGGCTCCTTTCAAGGGGTTGATTGCCGTATAGATTGAAAAATAGAGAGCTCGATTTCTTCAGTGCGGTTCCACGGGTCTAAATGCAAAGTATCTGGCAGACGAAAGAACGGTATTTGTAACGCTGAAGTTTCGGGGACTGACAAACCATTGGGTCCCCACTCCTATAGGCGAAGGGCCGGGAAGGGGCAATAAAGCAGATAGAAGAGTGAGTGCAGCGAAGTCACGCAGCCGGCATAGGTTCCCCGGGGTGTTTAGGGAGCTGTGCCATGCCCCCAAGAAATCATCGCGATCATTCTTGGCCACGACATTAAAAGACACGCTGGAACTGGACGAGGAAAATAATTTTTTACAGTGAATTTAACTGCAACTAATAGGCAAATGATGAGTTGATTAAACCTGTCATTTCAAGTGTCTCGGTCCCAATATATGCTCTTTTTTTTTTTTGCGTTTAGACCCCTCTGTCAGATTTCCTTTAATTTGAACATTAAAAACGTCATACATATTTATACCAAAAAGTGTTCATTGCACGAAGTGGTCAGACTGCTGCAGTAATGGGAAAAAGATCATTCCTCCTACCAAGCATGTGATGTTGCTAGTATCACTTTCTTTGTGTCCACTTTCTTATTCCTACTTCCGGAACAAAGGAACATAATGAGTGGATTAATTGAAACAGGTATATTTAGCATCGTTCATATTCATCATTAGCCATAAATTAAACACCCCCGATAATTTTATACATAGCCACGTGCACTTAATTAGAACAGTTACATGATCATATTTTACACTGGTTTTATAGAGTGTTTATATTAAATTATTATTGATAATACACTATTAACTTCATGCCATGTTTGGCTTTGATGGCTCATAGAAATTAAATGTTTTGATTACAATGCTTTCCTCTTGATATAACTTTTCAATTCTTCTTTTTTAGACGTGTAATTTATACCTAGAACATTATAAGATTTTGACTACACAGAAAACTTGGTGAAAAGAAAATACTTTATCCTTCAGACTTTTTTAAAGCTCAGGGGAAAGGAAAATCTTTCCCTCCTTGGTAAGTTGTTGGTCTTAGTACATGATTTTAAAATTTTGCCTTTGCACTGCAAATATAGACTCGCAGCTCTTTTGGAACAATTGTTCATAATCAGAGTATGGACTCCATTGTCAATGAATCAGATCCAGTTCATTTGAAATTCACCTGAAAATTGCCCTGAACTTAATTACCATTTCTGATCATAAAATGTAGATTTTTGAAAATGTATGAGAGAATTCATATCTACCAGTCTATCAATCCTGAGCCATTGGAGTCAATAGCAGAACTTGTGATGTCCAAATTGTGGAATTATAATTTTCAATGCCATTGTAAATAAAAATACAAACTTTGTATTTGGCAACATTTTAAATGAATATATTTGCTTCATTTTTCATGTTTACATCAAAGTTTATATACATGAGAAATAGCTGTAGAAGTCACTGATAGCTACAGCTTGTTCAGAAACTTGTTAAAATACATGGATTGGATCTAAAGTTATTCCATGGAAGTAGAATATGTGCACTGAAATTCTGTATTCAGTTTTCTTATTGCAGAAAGAAAATATACACTTAATATCCAATGAAGGTATATGAAATGCACTACCAGTGTAAAACTATATCTCCATGATCATTATTTGCACTCAAGGAAGTGATCAGCTCTTCTGGGAAAATATTCATATTGAATACAAATAGACTTTGGTAGATAGTAACTGCAATTGTCATCTCAATAGAAACAATTTTATCCTTTAACTATTATGGTTATTGATAGTTTTTCTTACTATTCAGGAGTAAGTATATCATCACATTTCCATATAAGCATGACTACATGTCTTCCATGAAGTAGTTCTAATTCCCAGATTTTCATGTTTAATTGACCCTAGCTATGCATTTTTTAATTAATTGTGCCCATTTTATGAAGTCTTGAAATGAAGCCCAGTGACAGAGTAACCTAACATTGCTTTAAAATATAGATATGCACTCTCTGTAACTACAATGTCCCCAGAAAACCAGAGCACACAACTTATATTTCTATTTGTAATTTAAACATTAATATTAGCATGTTTTCCAACTGGAAGTGTTATGGCACTTTTATAAACAATAGATGTGGTGAACAACTATAAAATAAAACTGGGAATTGAAATGAAAGCCACTGGGTTATACAACTTAGAGGAGGAAGCCTGTGTCAGACTGTAGAAAGGAAACAGAAATACAAAATCCGACTCTGATCTTATATCAGCTTAATTATTCCTGATGAACACCAATGTGATCAGAATGAGGCTGTCATTGAAAAGAGAAATGAGGAGAAAATCAGACTGTTCTAAAATCAACAGGACAAGTAAAATGTTATGACCATCATATTTAATTTTATTGCCATGGATATGCTATAGTATTTTTACCATAGCATTTTTTCTTAGGTATAATTAGAAATTGTCCTGAATGAAGCCTGCAGGATCAGATACTATCACTTTACAACTGCATAGTCATATATTTGTAGAGTTATATTTCAGTCTTATGCTGGTGTAAGCGCATTGTTTAAAATACAACATTGGTGCAAGCCTGAAGAAATACAGAGGTGAATCAAGCTTCATGGCTGAACCTTCACTAAAGATTCAGCTGTTTAAAGCAGAACATTTTGAATGGTTTAGCATCAGGCCCCATGATTGCCATTCAAAGAGATGGAGGAGGAGTATATAATGTATAGGCTCTTCATCAGCGTAGTCTTCCATCAATTAGTTTGAATAAGCCATAGTTTAAAAATTATCAATTTATTTCCAAGATTTAAAAAAAGAGTTTTGAAAGGTCTATTTTTGACTATTAAATACAAAACACAAAATACATGCAAAATGTTTTATATATTTGACAAAGTATGTTTCACTTATTTATGTTTCTTGGTGATGTGATGACACTTCATCCACCAAGTGTTCTTGATGCCTATTTATATCTAACTTGAGTATTCATATTTTGTCCTGTTACGCTCACAGTGATCGGTATTGTAGTACTAGAGAAGCAACCTACAAGTAATCACACTAAGATTCCAGGGTAATGTAGCATGGCGATACAGTTACTATAAGGCTCTTACAATCTTGAAGATACTCTTCCAATAGGGATTAACAATTTTATAGGAAGCCTGTGTTCTGTTTCCAGCTCACCCACCTATTATTCCAGTAGGCTAAATACTATTCATGTTACACCAGCAGTCAATGAAATAAATGGAATTGCTTGAATGAATAGAGTGATTGCCCTTGGGCAAGTCACATACGTTGAGATTTTCAAATCTGTCGAAGAGCTTTAGCCACACAATTCCCATTGAAATTAACAGAAGTATTACATCTAAATCCGCATAGATGGCTTTGAAAATCTCAGACCTAACTTCTCTGGGCCTTAGTTGGACCACCTGTAAAAACAGGTGTGATACTGCTTAAGGTGTACAATAATCAGCACATTAATGAGTTTAAACTGCACTGGGACCAACAGGATTATACGTGTGTTGAATATTATTATAATGACTAGGACTATTACTAATCTTTGGACTAGGAACATGAGGAAGAAAGGACCAAATACATCTTGCCCTTTAGGAATGTTCCCCAGTTATTTCTGTTGTGCCTGTAGCACTGGGTGCTGGAAATTCCCACACTGATTTTATGAAGAGATAAAAGAGTGTAGTTTATACAAAAATGGAATAAACCCCTTTTGAATAAAACAATCTGCATAAATGCTTTAAGAAAGCCTATAATTATGATAAAAATGTTGCTCAAAGTTAAAATTATGAAGCAATCAAAATTTATAAACAGTCTCTCATCGACTTTTAATCATACTTTCTTTTTCATATACAAACTATACAGAACATATAGTAGTTACATATAACAATATACATTTTCTTTTCAGTTATGTAGGGCCCTACCCTATATAGTCTTTATTCAGACAACACTCTTAAGATAATTCAATGGGAGTTCTGCCTGGGAAAGGACTGCAGGACTACATCTTTACTGTTGAAAAAAAATCTTTATGGACCACTAATCTTTATGGGCCCAATCCTGTAAGTGGCTGAAAGCCATCCAAACTGGGCTGAATGCTCTCCAGGATGGAGCCATCACCTCTTACAGGCAGTGCTGAAGCTTCCAGGTTGACTTCAATGGATTTTGGATTAGGCCTTTGATTCTCACTGACTTCTGAGGAGGTGCTTGCTCAGCATGTCCCAGGATACAGCTCATACTTTACTCTCAATTTCTATGTGAACATTGGTCTTCATGTGAAATTCATTAAATAAGAATGCTTAAATTATATGAATCACGAAGGGCTTGGATCGCAAGAGATATTCAAAGAAGGGAATTTTTGTAATGGGAAGCTTCCAATTGGAATGGTAGCCTACTATGTCTACAAGCTCCATTGTTTCCTTTGAGCTGAACTAGCTCATCATTCTCAGGATGTATTCTGATATAAATATCCCTCTGAGCAGTAAAATTCACCAACATAATTGTGTCCCAAGAAATGCAATCACTGACAGCTCCCAACTAATGTAGTATTTGCTTCAAAAATGTTTTTATACATAATAGCACTGGATTTCTTCCTAGCCAAGACAGCATGCAAACCTCAAATCTCTGTATACAGTTAGATTACCTAATTGATCAAAATGCTGCTCCGCTTTTATGTGAATTAAATTGGCTAAAGCTTGTCTTGTTGAAAAGATAACAGTGCAACAATTTTAAAAGCTCAGAGCAACACTTCCTTCCCCTCCCCACAAATACTATGATTCAAATTCCGCTTTCAGAGATAGCAATGTTAATCTGGAGAATTCCCATTGAAGTTTGTGGGGTTACTGGAGATTTGTATCAGTGTGAGAGCCAAATCATGCTTCTTACTTCTGCAAGAGCTGGGGACCTCTATTTTTGTATTTTGTGCATTTCACAAGAATTCTTCCATCAGCGGATATGGGAATAGAGCCTCAAAATCTGTGTGCAACCTGAAGGATCTGTGGAGTTTCAGAGTCGTCTTCACAGAGATACCATTACTTCATGTTGGCACCCTCCAGCTCCCAGAAAGTATAGCTAAGAGTTACTCTGTCAGGGTGTGTCTATGCTGCACCGTAGGTCAAAATAAGATACGCAATTTGAGCTATGCAAATTGTGTATCTTATTTTGATGTTATTTTGAAATAGCTTATTTTGAAATTTGGCGCTGTCTACACAGCACTTATTTCAAAATAAATCACTATTCCAAAATGTCCCTTAATCCTTGTGGAATGAGGTTTACAGGGACATCAGAATAGTGAGCCCGTTATATTTTGAAATAACAGGCACGATCAAAAGACATGGAATAGCTATTTAGGGATACCTTTGGTATCCCAAAATAGCGCTGCAGTGTAGACGTAGCCTCAGAGAACAATCTGTTGTTCCCTAAGGCATGTTCTACACTAGGCTTTCCAAATAATGGGCTGGTTATTTCAAAATAACTCCTGCTTCCACAAGGAATAATGCTTATTTAAATATAGTTATTTTGAAATATTTGTAGTGTGGATGCTACACTGCTGCTATTTCAAGATAACTAGTCCCCAGAGTCATTCAAAGTAATTACTTCCCAGTGCTTCCTAAGTTGAGGTAGTACAACCACACAAAGCCCTGGTCGAATAACGGGCTGGTTGTTTCAAAATCTGTACTCCCACTTTCCTTGGGGAATAAGCGTATTTCAAAATAGTTATTTTGGGAGTTATTATTTCAAAATAACTTATTTCAAAATAATTTCCTAATGTAGACATGCCCTAAGGGGGTTGGATTCATGACTACTGTGGAGGAATCTGGATAAGTTAATAACTAGTCATCATTATAGTACATAGAAAAGACCTTAGGGTTTGGATAGCACAAACAGCAGCTATTTTATCAGATTCCTTGCCTCCTTCTCCTGTCCCTTTCAAGCAAACTGAGCCCCAAGGAGCCTGTTTTGTGGAGTGGCTTCCAGGGAGCATGGGTAAAAGGAGGAAGATTAATTTGTCTGCATTTCTTAGGTCAGGCATCGGTCGATTCCTCTT